TTCGTTACAAATGTCTAATACATATTCCTACCACAATAGGTGGGTGTTACGATTCAACTCCCAAGGCTTCACTTAATCATTACAACTGTTGTATAACATATTGTTTATACCACACGTGGTATAAACTCTGAACGCGTTTTGATTGGCTGACATGGTGACAGAAATGATGATACACAGAAAGTACTTCGTCATTGTTTTTGTGATAATAGATTTCTTATGTTGGTTTCTATAAATTTATTGCTTTGAAGACAATAAATTTGTTACATACTTGTGTGGCACCCCGTTAGATTTGTTAATTTATTTTAATTCCTTATATTCCTAAAGATTCATATTGAGTCCAATTAGTATTACTTTGTATAATGTTGTGTCGTTGATTTTAATCCGTAATCCACGCTCCGCATCTGCAGTCACCTAGTCTCGTTTGTTACTTTCGTTTTGAATGGAATGTATGTGAGTGTGACGTAATTGTGAACGTGATTGTATACCCGTTTGACCAGTGACAAACTGACCTCTGACACCTGTCGTATTGCATGATATTTCCTGCGTTAATGTTTTATTTGCTTCTCTGTCCTTTCTTTTCTATTCACTTCCTATCTGCTCCTGGTAGAGGCAACATCGCCATATAGAGATACTTACAGAATATACATACCTTGCAGATTATACTAGTGGATCCCCGGTACCACATACAGGTTATTGGTCAAATAAAATATATAAGCTATTTCTAAACTTAATATTTATACTGAAAAATATTAATGCTCTATAATTTATATTTATTAGAAATGCTATAACTTGCCGTAAATTGCTCATATATAATTATGGGTGTGGTTATTGACTAAGTGAACACTTTCCTTATTTAACACTGATTTTATACTTCGGTGTAGTTTACTGGTATTATAAGTATTATGTGAACCATATTCATATATAGTTTTCTAGACTACTTCTTTAAATAATTGTTTTATAAACCTTACATCTTTTAAAAAGTATCGTACGTTAAAACGTGAATTGTCCATATGTAAATGTATTGTTAGGCGAGTTTGTTTCTGTATATTGTCTCACATGTGTTTTAATATTGTTACAGGGAAATAAATACCCACTGAATCAAAGGCATATGGACGTCTCGTCATTTATTGCAAAAGAACCCAAACACCACACTTGTTATGTTTTGTAATAAATCATAATATTTTCACATATTCCGGAAATTGTCATTTTTGCATATTAATTAGCGGCATTTTACTACAGGTCATATCTGATATCGTAAACACATATGCATACATGAACATTGTCAATTTCCTCAGAAAATATTTTTTATTGTGGTAGAAACAGGTCACACAAACTCGTGGTTGTTGTATATGGTATTTCTTTCACTGTCGTTAGTTATTTTTCAAAAGTTACAAAAAACACGAGCTTCAACCACTCGTTGTGTAACCTCAATATATATGCTATACTGATATGGGTCACAGCACACATGTAACGAACTCCAAATAATTTTTAGCTGGTTTTAAGTATCAACAATATACAGCTTATAGATTTCTCTGTCTTGCAGCATTCGAACTGACCTTATATCAGTATAGCATATGCGTACAAGACACGATTAGTAACGAAACCGTGAACTGACGGGTTACTTTTGGTACAGGTATCTTATGCGCTAGCAAAAACTTGCATGGCGGCCAATTAGGAGTCCGTTGATACGATTACGATTTCTTTATTTAAACGATATATCCACACTGAAAAAGTATACGAACATCGAGTACGAAATCAGGTACATCTATTCTTTTGGGAAAATCTTCAATGTTTGGCATTTACATCGTAATAAATCAGCGATCTTTCAATTTGTTGGAGGGTCGCAGATGGGTGTGTCAGTTTACATTTACTTTTATACTGCAAAGGGCCGTCGAACAGCATCAACTTACAGGGAGACTTGTTTGGCGTGGCTTCCACATGAGTTCGTTAAAAACTGGTTAAAAAGTTAAAACTATTTACAGGATCCACATTCACTCTGCAAGATGACTGGAGCGAGGTCTTGAATGCCTCAGTTCTCCCAAGTAACTGGTGGATCGGGGTATTTATCGGACAAGTCAATCAACTTGAATTGATTATTTTTCCTTTCTCCGATACATCATCTTTAAACCTGTTTCTGGTATACTTAACTTTGACTTTTTCCCACCGATACAGAAAAAAATTCAAAGCATTCTTTGCCATCATGAAAATTAACGTCAAAATTATGTAATTTCTTGTCTCAGATTGTGTCATTAATAACGTCATCAAGTTTTTTTGAGTAAAATTTAAATTTTCATTGGGGCCTGTCTAGGGGTATTATTGGACAAGCAATGTTGGAAAGTCATTTTTGTACTGGTTATAACTTGGAAAACCACATAAGTGCATCTCACAATAGCTGATACATAACAAATAAAATAAAAAAGTAAATATAAATGTGTATTTTCTGTAGATTAATCAGGGATGGACACTAACTTTTTTGCTTGGTAATCCACAGGACTAGTTGAAAAGATTATTTACTAGTCCTTTGTCAATGTAAAGTTCTATAAGATTTCCTGATCAGGAAACAATGCGATCTACAGCATGAAACATCAAAAGAGAAGACTTAATATAACTACTGCCATAAAAATATGGTTAAGTTATAGGATTTTTTTTGACAATTATCATGCAATATATATTATTTAAAGCATTTTTCTAAATTTTAGAAAGTAATATTGTTATTTTATAATCATATTTTTCACAAGTCCAAAGGTCCAGTTAGGTGATTCACTGGTCCTTGCTGAAATCAACTAGTCAAGGACTAGTGGACTAGCTATATAGTGTGACCAAGACTCGACCCTTGTTAATTAAATACATTTTTAGTGGAACTTATGTGCATTGGTATAAATCAGGAAATAAAATAGTTTAGTATTTGAAGGGGGCATGGCTATATTCAATCTTGAACTTGCTGCTCAGACATGGAGTAATTACAAGCACCTTAACACAGGAAAGTTTCTTGTCATCATTAATTCTGGACTCATCAATTTTGCGGCAAACAAGTGACAAACATATCACTACATACTCTGGGTTTCTTGACATATTTGAACGATATGATTCGGGCATGGCAGATAGGGGGTTTATATTCGAGAAGAGTTGGGCAGAACTGTTTATTCCTCCAGGGTGTAGGAGAGCTTCTCAAATGTCAAGAGCTGAAGTGAATCTAACAAAGACCATTTCAAATCAGAGAATTTACATTGAACATGCAATCAGATGAATAAAATCCTTCAGGATCCTCAAAATTGAGGTACCTCTTACTCTTGTGCACCACTTGGATGATATTGTAAAAGTGGTTGCTGGAATTTGTAACATGCATCCATCTCTTCCGAAGTATAAGTAAATAGTAATTTTATCAGCAGCACCAGAACCTGTTCCTCAATATATCCCACTATTGCTTTTTCATGATCATCCAAACTTTCAATGTTTACAAATTAATGTTGTGTTTATATCAGTCGCTAGTTCACCTGCCCTAGCACTGTGTTGTCAAATATAATCCAGTTTTGATATGTGTGAGCCAAACTTTTACTCTTAAGATCCACAAAGCTTCAACTCTTCTTTAACAAAAGTACCAGGTATTTTTAGGGCTGTAATAATATATTGATATGTGTATCTCTGTATCACAATATTTTGTTTAGCGAACATGTATCCAGTGATACATATGTTTATTTATATTTAATAATTTGTAATTAAAAGTGCAAAGTTTGGAACATGAAATTAGTGACATTCTCAGGGTCTATATGCACACTGACACTGCTAGGATCAAATTACAGTGTACTGCAAATATTCCTAAGGATCCCCAATAATTAAATATAGTGTGAAACACTTATCAGACATACAACTGTGCGTGGGTGGTGTCTGGTCAATCGTGTCAATAGTTTGGTTGATCTGATAATAGTAGAAATATGACCAGCACGGAGACCTGGCTCTCCGGATGATTGATCAGGCAAATGGGAAAACTGAACAGGTCTTTATTAATATTCCAGCCCAAAAAAAGGGAAAAATTACAATTATCTTAATACCTACTGTATACATCTCTCCCAATACTCTATCTGAACCTTATTGAGTTATTGGTAATACTTGGACATGAATTGTGTAAATATGGTTAACATATAAAGCACATTCTATCAAGAGTTCTAATTGAATATCAATTAAGCAAGAATATAATAATATATATATTATATATGCATGCAATATAATGTGGCAGTCAAACTAACTGTACATTTTCGACTTGCATACAAAATCTAACCTCATATATTTATTTTTAGGCCTAAACAAGGCTTTTATATTTTATTCAAGTTCTGCTAGGCCGATCTCACTGAAAATCGGTCTAGGAATGATCAGCTCATGGTCCTGACAAAGTTAAGTTAACATTATACTTAACTATTTTTTACTCAAATTACTACATATTTCAACAACAAAAATAAATACTGTAGGACTCAGGTGACCGTTAAGGCCCATGGGCCTCTTGTTTAAGATACCATGCAATGGCACTTCGGAACACTCGAGTTTCTTTCGGAAAAAATTATAACTCGGGACTATTCCAGCCATTTTAGTATTAATGTGAGCTTCCTAACACCAATTTTTTAAAATTTATGCGTAAATATAATAATTAATATTTTAATATATCAACTAAACTTATTGATGATATTTTATATTGGTGTTAGTTATACTTCCTGTTGAAAAATACGAAAATTTCCGGGCGCAAAGCTAGTTTTACACAGCTCCCGTTTATCGGACTCCACATTCATTGGATTATCTAACAAGTCCGTACACCTAGCATTAAATAAATATCTTTTTGCTAAAAATGATATTAGTTGTTAAATTGTGTTTATATAATTGTAAATAATAAGTTTTTTCCAACTATGTAAGACAATTCCTGATATGTTTTTTGACTTAGTCCGACGCTCATGTTTATAATTCTTTTCGTTAGTATTCCGATTCGTATTTTGTAACAACGTCAGCACAGCGGAAGTTACGTTCGTTCTTTTTCTCTGCCGGGCCACGAGGAGCACAAAGGATCTCAACATTTCTCTCACAATTTTTCAATTTTCGTCATAAGCACAGCATAAGATGGCTGAACAAGAAGGTTGTAGAGTGTATGCTGGTAACTTGGACTTTAATACTGAGCAAGGAACTCTGGCTGATGCATTTGCAGAGTACGGAAATGTTGTAGATTGTAAACTCATTACAGATCGGGAGACTGGCAGGTCCCGTGGGTTTGGTTTCATCACGTTCGACACCCAAGAAGCTGCTAATAGAGCTGTAAGCGATGGTCAAAAAGACATTGATGGCAGGGATGTTAAGGTTTCAATTGCCCAGGCCAGAAATGATTCGCGCGGCGGCGGGCGTGGACGAGGAGGCTACCGTGGGAATAGCGATGGAGGGTATCAGCAGCGAAGCTATGGCGGCGATAGAGGGTACGGTCAACAGTCCTACGGCGGAGGCGGTGGATATGGAGGAGGAGATGGCCACGGCCGTCAGGGTGGTGGTGGTGGCTGGTAAAGTCCATCAGCATATCTCGATAAAAAAAACACCTTCAGAATTGTTCCATTCTTTGAAAATGGGGAAGCCAATCGGGCGGTGATAAGCGCGGGATATCTGATAAATAACACATTATTACCAATCCGCGGCAACTGATGAAGAACATGTTTTTGATTTAATGACATGGGCTATTTCCTTTTGCCAAAAGTTGTGTACTGATGTGGGACCATTCATCAACCTTTAACACTTGTGATTACGCAATTACTTTCGGTTATGATCACGAGGAGGGGCCAAGGCACGCAACTTTATCAATTACCTCGTTTACCAAAACGAACATTAAAATTTTTCAGACGAACAGTTTTTTCAGCCTTTCAAAAAACGATACAAGACATTGGGATAAATTGTGATTCAACTGATATAATTCATCAACTGTTCAATTACCGTATTTGTCAAAAATACTGGTTGAACTAGACGCTGTACAAATTATGTGACATTTTGATAGACAACATAGAAAAGTGAAAAATATTCTTGGATATGTTGATAGAACTTCGGTGTATCACATAAAGAGCTTTGGTGTGATAAATTTGAGACAATGAAGTTCACTTGATCAAGCTGCATCCTTTTTCAAAAGTAAATGACAAGTTGTAGGATATTTCAGTCGAGCAATTATCAAACTTTAATTCTGAACTGTAATTGAGGTGTTTAGAGCTCAAATTGTGCATAATGTTACTTCTCATCTCAAAGCATTGATGTTTCATCATTCATTTCATTGCCAGGTTGCCATGCATCAATACAGTTGTAAAATTGCATTTGTTAAAACGAGTTGAACAATGGCATTGTATGTCTTCTTGTTTTTGTAAAACCTGTCTTGAAAGCAGTGATTTATAATTAAATGTAGGAAACAGTTGCATAGCTTTTGTTATTTATTTCTTCTTACATGTTTATAAGCACACCTGGTTTAAAGGACCATGGTGAGCTTAATGATAATAATATCTTTATTTAAGGAGGGTTACATATTTAGTACAAGACTTATCTTCCATATGGCCCTCTCGTACAAACATGTTAACTGACATTAAAAGTTTATTATGCTAACTACAAAATCATGGACAACAAATAAACATTATGTAAGATTTCTGAATGCTACTATTGTTTATGAATAGTTGGTAATCAGACTAACCTACTGACTAGATAAACGATGCATGCATTATTGTCTAGATCTGAACGAACGTATCATAAATAATATCAAATTATTATACAGATAAAAACGGTAAACAAATTATTTGACACATAAACTCATTGCTCATTTGTACACACAGCATTCTTTCCCTGAGGAATAGAGTTTTAATATAATTGAGCATATGTATATGTAAAAAATATTACATCAAAGTACAAGGTAACAAGTCAAAGCGTTCACAGAAACTTTGTAAATTTTGACATTACTCATTATATAGAGAGAGCTTATGCCATTCTGCAGTGTCCGTTGTCTGTCCGTCCACTTTTCCTTTGAATCACTACTAGTCCTGAACAACTTTATGGATTTTTTCTAAAATGCGTCTGAAGCATCCTCAAAGGAGGTGAAATTTTGTATAAAAAGAGGTTGTTGTCCCTCTGGATGCAGAGTGGCGGGTCAAATAGGGATGTTAGTGGTTTAAATCCTCAAAATCCTTCTGTACAAAAAGGGAAATTATCCAAAATTAGCCCAGAGACTCCTTTGGCAAACGGGGACTACATTTTGTAGGGCTGGAACAGGAAACCGGTACCCTAAAACCGCCCAAAATGTTGACCACGAAAACACTAGTGATCAGTATACTTGCTTTCCTATTGAGTGCGAGTAAACAATAAACTTTGAATATAAACATAATATTGACTGATGTAACTCGTCGGGTGGAATATTGACTGGTGTAACTCGTCGGGGGAAATATTAACTGATGTAACTCGTCGGGTGAAATATTGACTGATGTAACTCCTCATTCACCTGCAGCTTTCGTCGGTGTTCCGACCGGAATTGATCTGCAGAAATATGTGCGCATAGCATTGACAACACAGAGTGAAGTGAGACTACGAAAATGTCCCTGTAATATGTAACCAATTCATAACGATTTTGAGAATTTGTAACGTTTTACAACTATTCACAAGACAAATATTGAGTTATCTTTGTTTATGCATTTATTGAATGAAGTAATCATATTTTTATCAAAATTAAGAGCCGCTAGTGGTTGTATTTTCATTGCACAAGAAAACACGGTTACCCGGTTTGGATAAGCACGCATGATTATCTGGGAGGCATTTTTTTTTAATTGCAGCCCTAAAAGTTTGTGTAAATGGAGGTTTTTGTCTCAACAGCAAAGAGGGAGAACGGAATTTGAGGTTTAAATCTTTAAAATCCTTTTCATTCTGTACCATTGATTAGAGGAATTTTATCTAAATTCGACCTAAAGCATCCTTGATCAAAGAGAACTGAATTTTGTATAAACGGAGGTTGTTGTCCGTTTGGTTGCAGAGAGGCTGATCAAATGGGGAAAAAATGATGTTTAAATCTTTAAAATCGTTCTCCTTCTGTACTATTGGAGGATTTTATCAAAATATTGACTTGAGCATCCTTGGGCAAATTAAGGGGACTAAATTTTGTAAAAACAGGGTGTGGCCCCACTGGATGCAGAGTGGCGGGAGCCCAATATGGAAAATTTGAGGTTTAAATCTATGAAATCCTTCTTCTGTACCACTGAAGGATTTTATGTAATAAGAATAATTTTCCATGGTTGCTTGATTATCTAGGTGAGCAATACAGGCCCTCTAGGCCTCTTGTTTACTTGCAGTTCCACCACATTCGTACTGTATATATACAAGACTTGCAAAATTCTTTTCCAGTTAAACTTACAAAATTTATCCATACCAAGATTTACTAGTCGGTAGAACACGGTAACATGCTCCTGATGCAATATTGACACGTGTGTTTGAGTACAGTAATGTCAGCTTTTGTTATATGTAGACAGTTTTATAAATTGCCAAAACTAGTCTCAAACCAAAAGCAACTTTTTTTCCTTTTAATATTATGAAGCCCACATAGTCCATTTAATGTATATGAAAATTTTAGTGCTGGATTTTGAAATAAAAAATGATAATTATAATATAACGGGGGTTATTTATTGTACAAAACTATCGTTGTACAATGCTTCCTGTCATAGGTGGTATACGTACAGCACTTGCATAACACTTATATTAAAATGTTCTGCACCATTTTTAGCTCACCGGGTCTGAAGGACCAATGTAAGCTTATGCAATACCTTGGTGTCCGTCATCCGTCCGTCCACTGTTTGGAATTTCAACTAAATTTGATTGTAAGCATCCCTAGGTGGTGGGGATTCAAAATTGTACAAATGGTTGTGCTGATTCCCCAGGGGGCTGAGGGGCGGGGCCAAAAGGGGTCAATTTGACAATTTGGCTATATTGCTATAAACGACTTCTTCTGTAGAACTATGCCATGGATATCTATCATATTTGGAGAAGAATGCACATTTGCTTCCAGGATTGCCCTAGGGTCTGGCCCCATCCTTGGAGACATAGTCCCTGGATCATAACTTTGAAAAGGTTGAGATCCCCATCCCAAAACTATATATACAAAATGCTGGGCATAAAGAGACCAATGTAGTCATGATATTAGAATAGATCCTGGGGTCTGTCCAAACCCCTAGGAACCTAATTTCTTAGTCACAGCTTGGAAACAGTTGAGATCCCCACCCTATAACCATATAGACAACTGCTGAGTATAAGGAGAAGAATGCACAGATGTTTCCAGGATGGCCCTAGGGTCTGGCCCACCCTTGGAGACTTAACCCCTGGGTCATAACTTCGAAATGGTTAAGATCCCCATCCCAAAACTATATATATACAAATGCTGGTCAAAAAGTTATGATTGTAGTCATGATATTAGAATTGATCCTGGGGTCTGGCCATAACTGTAGGGACCTAGTTTCTGAGTCACAACTGAGATCCCTACCCCATAACCATCCATTAAATTGCTGGGCTTGAAAAATCTAATACAGGTATGCTAGAAGGTTTGGCCTTTGGGTCTTGCATATTCCCTTGGATCTCATTTAGAGAATATTTTGCCATGATTGCTTAGATATCCAGGTGAGCGATACAGGCCCTCTTGTTTGGATAAGCGGATGTTAATACTCCTTGGAGAAACATCAGCAAAGCAGGAGACTAGCACATTCAGCTTCTTTGCATTATATATGAAAGGATTGAGAAATCTGTGCTGACAATTTAAACAATTCAGAGACTGGTGAATTCTGAATATGTGTAAAGTCAACTTGAACCCAGATTTGTAAAGAGTTGTTGATATCTCATAATTATTTAGCCCTTAAATTTTAACTAAAATGTCTTGAAAAGCCCTTAAAACAAGGTAATCAAAACATCCAACAAAAAAAGACTTGTAATGCGATCTAGACTCTTTTTGAAGGTCACAGATGTGAGATGAACAACAGGTGAGTGATACAGGCCATTGCACCTTTGTATTGCATGTATCGGGGTTTTTATATAGCCTTTAACCATTTCACCCCTATGTAACTTTAGTAGACTCAACAATGCATTGATCTGGATGTGTCCATTATGGTCTACAGGAGTGAAAGGGTTAAATTGCACAGTTTCCATTTGCTAGCAATCTAGATTTTGATAAATGAAAGAATAGGGTGAGCAATACAGTCTCCATCAGCCTCTTTTTTGCTCACCTGGTCCGTAGGATCATGGTGAGCATATGCCATACTGCAGCATCCGTCGTCCGCCCATCAACTTTTCCTTTAAAACGCTACTAGTCCTGAACGGCTAAGTAGATTTTGACTAAATTTGATCTGGATCCTCCTTAGGCCAAGGAGACTCAATTTTGTATAAATGATGGGTGTAGTCCCAAGGGGACTCAATTTTGAATGAATGGTGGGTTCGGCTCCCCTGGCTGCAGAGGGGCAGGGCAAAATATGGGAAATAGAGGTAAAACCTTTCAATCCTTCTACTACCGTAAGGATTAAAGGATTTTATCCGAAATTAGTCTGGAGCATCCTTGATCTTGGTCTTGGTGTGCCCCCCACCCCCACCTTGGGGGCATAGGGGCGGGGCCTAATAGCTGAAACAGCAAATTCTTCAAAATCCTTTTCCTTCTGACAGGATTTTGTCCAAATTTGGTATGAAGTATCCATGGGTGAAGGGGAACCAATAATAATAATGTAACACATGTACATGTAAACTATCAGCAACATCTAGCTATTCCAACTTAAATTTTTCTAACATTTCCAGGTGAGCGATACAGGCCCTCTGGACCTCTTGTTTTTGTGAAGCATTTTGGGATGTTAAAGTATCTGTAATCACCGGTCAAACTATATTTCCATTCAGCCACAATAGTTTTTGTTTTAATGTTATAGCTAAACTAGGACATTTTTATTGTGGTGAACTTAAACAGTTGTTAGTTGCGTTTTAGATTTTATTAGGTCACCTGAGACAAAGTCTCAAGTGACCTATTGCGATCGCCTTTTGTCCGTCGTCGTGCGTCCGTAAACAATTTACATTTTCGACTTCTTCTCCAAAACCCCTGAACCAATTTCAATGAAATTTTGCAGGGACCTTCCATGGACAAAGGTCAACAAAAATAGT